TCTGCCTGCTGTTTTTACCTCATATATACTGTATTTTAAAAACAGCTGCACGGTAGCTTAACACCTACAGAAACCTTAAATTTTAAAAAATCACTCCCTGTTAATAAACACCTCATCTTTCACCTCTGGCTCCTGGAAAGTTACATTTCGGTACAATACTGCTGGAGTGGCCTCTAGGGCGCACGAACTACCTCTCGCCACTAACACTGTGCCTGTCCTCAGGAGGTGGCAGGGTACGAGAGCCAACGAACGGGCCTGCAGCAAACCGCAGGAAGCACGGTTCCCAGGTTCCATGCAGTTCAGAACAGCAGGGCAGAAGTTATGCTAAGACACAATGGAGGCCGACTGCATTTTTAGGATTTTATTTCAAGGGGCTGAATGAATGGTTACCTTGAGAAATTCACATTTTTTTTAAACTTTCAAATACTCCTTTTAATGCACTTTGATTACCGCCATTTTCATTACCAACCCATCTAGGAAACAGAACGAAAGATATTTATACCAAACAAAAAAATAGGAATAGACTGAAAAATCATTTTTTTAAATCTATGAATATTTATAGTAGCAATTTGAGTAAAAATAAAATAAAATTTTGCTGGTGAAAGGATTCTACCAGTGAAGTATGTCCCAAGACCCCAAAAAATAAAAAAAAATATTTACTTTTGCTTTAGAAACAATATTTTACGGCAATTTCCAGACTTCAAAAAAAGAACATTTAATATGGCACAGTTATGCAGCCTAGTACTACGCTTTGTGAGTCACGGCCCCAGGGCTCGTTTAGTTCAAGTCCACTGAAATCAAGGTCACTGGCTCCAAGGGCAGCACACGCAAAATCAGCCCCACATGTTCTAGCTCAATCTGCCAGGGGACCTAAGGCCTGCCTACTGGTTCTATTTCTACCACCAAATTATCATAATTGCATGCTTATGGATAAGAACTATTCAGTGACCGATGGCTGAGCTGGGGACTACGGCAGCTCGTCACGGACGTTTCTGCTACTCTAAGCAGGCTCTGCTTTGAGGAGAAGATTTAAAGGACATTTACGCTAACCTCTTTTTTATGGCACTAACTTTACAGCATGGAATAGGTACGTTTTCTGGTGAAGTGACAAGGCCACGACAGAGTTATCACACTGCCCAATGCTGGGCTGCAGGCTTCCCAAGTCTTCAGGGTGTTCCACTGATTCTGCTGGGGTCTCCAACCTTCACCCCCCCCCCTCTGCATCACCAGAGCCAGGCTACACGTGCCTGCTCGCTGGCCCAGGGCAAGTCATCAGACTAGTGATCTCAGAGCAATTCGACTACTATTAAATTCTTCCTGAAGTGTATTATTCTGTGTTTTTAGCACATTTATGCACGAGCTATGCAAACATTATTACTAACTCCTGAAAATGTTTACCCTCTCTAAAAGAATCAAAGTCACTCTTGTATGGACATGTTTTTAATTCTTTGGAGTACATATAACTAAGAGAATTCATTAAAATTCAATCCTTGTTCTTCAAACTTGTTCTACCCTTCAACTGTTAGCTTCCTTTATTTACAGACTTGACCATACTTGTCACTCTGTATAAACAGAGTTAGATGGTATGTGCCCGTTAGGGTCTGACTCTTTTTTTTTTTTTTCCTTTAACTCAATGTCTTTTCAAGGTTCATTCATGTTATAGCATGTAACAGTACTTCGTTTCTCTTACAGTAGTTTATTGGTGGATGTATATTTCAATCACAGATCCAAGTCTGAGTGTTTTCTACTTTGGGGGTATTATGCAGAATGCTATGAACTCACAAACACACTTTTGTATGGACATGTCTTTAATTCTTTGGAGTACACATGATGAAGAGAATGGCTGGGTTACATGGGAACTAGGTTCAACTTTGAGGGAGAGCCTGTCCAAACTGCTGCAACAGGGCTGTACTGCTGTACTTTTCCACCAGCAGGAGGTAAAGGTTCCAGCTTCGCTAAATCTTCAATGACACTTGCCACCAGGTACCCTTCTGATAATCACCCTAGCAGGTGTGAAGTGCAAATGCACAGAAAGATTCATGAACTAAAGCATGAAGACCACGGAAAGAAAGAACAAATCCGTGTGCTTGCTGTGAGAAGTATGCAGTTTAAAACCCGAAGCATCAGCAAGGAAGGCGTGCATTCTGCGGCTAACCTGGCCATCCACAGCAATGCAGACATGAAGGTTACTTATCATCGCTCTGCAGAAGATGCTGATGGCACTCAGGGTGGTGGGTGCCAGCCTTGGGAGCAAGGGTGCTGGGGTGAGAGGACATGTGCTTGGGTAGGGCCTGCCTCAATGCAGCTGCCAGCAACACCTCACCCCATTCCCTACTTCCCTTCATTGCACGGAAGTTAACACAGCTGCTCCCACTACACACCGGAATTAGCTCTAAGCTCGCTGGCAACAAAGGCAGAGAAGTAAATGTGATGTCAGAAATGTTACTAAAATGAGAAAAGCCTCCCATTCTTTTGGCAGATATTTTTTTTTCTCAAAAAATAACTCCCTTTCTCTTTAATAGCTCCTTATATCTGAAAAACTTAAGCAGTATTAATAGACAACACTTATTCTTTATTAGAAAGTTTTACAGCAATAGAAGCTGAACTTTTCATAGCTGCTTCTTCATTACCACTTTTTATAGCAGCTGAGTGCAGGGCATTCATTGCAAAGGGGCAGAGATTCCCAGAACTCTAAGCCCAGAACCTATCACACCCCGCTGTGCCGAAGGAGTGAATCCTGTGTGCTCTGTTGTATGTGTTCACCTAGCAGGCCAAGAGGAGCCCCAGCCGAGGACCCTGCTGCTACTGCAGCCTTGGAGGTACAGGTGCATACACTGATTATGGACACCCAGCTGAACACCCAACACCTAGCCTTTTCTGTGTAGACACAGAAGCTAGTGGCTCCTCAGGGAACCTGTGAGTCTGGAATCAACTTCACTGCTCCCAGTCAGTACAGAAGGTGTGACAAACCAGAAAGACAAACCTTACATGAAGAATATACTTGAGCCGGTTTGGAATCAGAAGGCACTGGGTGGATTTTAAAGTGCATTTGTATGAAAGCCTTTGGAGTTTTCTGCTTGCTCCATGCATGGATCTGCACCACAGTAAAACCTGCATGGTGCATGCATCTATAAACAGTAACAAAAGTGCCTGTAACTTCAGCCCCCAGATGTAACTATAGAAAGTTTCTGGCGGACTTTTCAAAAGTAGAGCTGCGCTGACAACAAGCATCAGCAGAGACCACCCAAACACTTGCTCTCACTTCTCAGGGTGATGTGGGAAGACTTCAACGGAACCCAGGAGAAGCCCAGACAAGCAGAGCTTGAGAATAACTGGTGCAGAGCTGAGCTGACTCCATTACAGTCATAATAAAAAGGTGCTCTACACACCTAGAGTATAGTCCTTACACTTACTATTTTAAAGATGATATGTTATGCACCAGTATAATGCTCATATTAAAAATAAGACAGGTCTTAATTTGTAGCCTTGGATGTAGCCCTGCTTGCTACATGTAGACCAAGCTGGCCTGGAGCTCACAGAGATCACCTGCCTCTTCGGTTAAGGGTATGCACCACCACACTCAGCTTAAATATGTTAAAAGAAAACAACAACAACATCATCAAAATCTCTACAAATTGCAATGCCTCCACCCTCCTCTGCCCCTAAGACACTAGACTGCCAATGCTTATCATCTTTATGTGCACAAAGTACAAGCAATGCTTAATCATTTCAAATATTCTGCTTTATATCTGGTGACAAAACAACAGGCTAGGAGTTGCCCTGGCTTCCTGGCTACAAGCAAAAAGGGCACTCTGCAAAGGCAGGTGCATTCCTTAAGTCATTGTGCCAATTTTTACATTTTCATCTAATTATGGAAAGGTCTTTGTTAAGATTCCATTGATAAACTGCCATATTCCCTGATTGCTTTTTTTCTTTTTTAAGGAGTCTGAATGCAGCATTTCTTAGCCATTGCTATTTCTTCTCTTGGGAACTCTGTTCAGCTCCATAGCTCATGTTTGATTTGGGTCATTTTCTTGACTCTGTTTTGGGGGTTCTTTGTATATTCTGGATACTGATCTTCTAGCAGCAAAGTTTCTCTCACACTCTGTGAGCTTCTTCACGATGCCGATTGTTTCCTTTGCTGTACAGGAACCTTTTAGTTTTATGAATTGTCATTTGTCCAGTGTTCACTTAAATTCCGGAGCAAAGTCCAGAATTCAATTCCCAGTACCTGTATCAAGCAGTTCCAGGAAGCCCAACACCTTCTTTTGGCCTCCATGAGCACTCACAAGTACATGGCATATGCATACATAGACACACACACATACACACACACATACATACATACATACATACATACATACATACATACATACATACA